CGAGGGGGGGGGGGCGGAGGAGGAGGCCGGGGCCGGCTCCGGGTCCGAGGCTGAAGAGGACGCGCTGTGGGAGCGGATCGAGGGCGTTCGACACCGGCTGACGCGCGCCCTGAACCCGGCCAAGCTCACGCCGTATCTGCGCCAGTGCCGGGTCATCGACGAGCAGGACGAGGAGGAGGTGCTGAGCACCTACCGCTTCCCGTGCCGCGTCAACCGCACCGGTGAGCCGCGGGGCGCCGTTCGGGATCGATCCCTGCCCACTGTGGCTGGTGCGCAGTGAGCAGAGGTTGGGGCGCACAGCCCCGTGGTGCCCCGCTAGCCTCGGTCTCGGCCCCAGCTGAGCGCGCTGCTTGGGTGTGCCCACCGTCCCGCCTCGTGCAGAACCACCGTCACCACCATATGGGCCAGCGGGTTCGCGGTGTCCCCATGCCGACTGAACCCGGCCTGTTCTGCAGCTCTTGCCCACTCTCTGGGTCCACATCGCTGGGAAGGCCTGGGTCGTTCCAGTCCCAGCTGGTGGACTCACATCTGACTTGGCATCTTTGCCGTTTGGTGGCCTTGGTCTCTGCAACCCCCTCTGTGTGCCACACAGTGCTTTTCCCTTAAGTGCTGAAGCCCCACCCCAGCTCTGTGAGGGTCCCCTCTCCCAAGGTCCTGTCTGAACCAGTGCCAGGCAAAGGGACAGGCTCCTACGTGGAATTTCCCGCAGGGCCAATGGCAGGTGTTTTACTTTGCTTTTGGGGATGCAGGGGGCCTTCTCTGCACCTTTGCACGGGCAGCGTGACTGGGTGTGTGTGTGTGGGGCCAGGGGGCATTGCACTACAGGTGCATAGTGGGGGCCGGCTCTCCTGGTGAGGGGGCCGGCTCTCCTGGTGAGGCAGACGGCTCGCCTTCCTGATGTGTTGAGACAGGCCCCTGTGTGTCACCAGCTCAGAAATCTGGGGAATGTGGGTTCTGGAGCATGGGGGGGGGGGCAGGGAGTAGCAGCCAGGTGCTAGGGTAAGCCCTAGCCCTCCTTGACCCTGAATGCACCCCTATACGCCCAGGGCGCCTGATGGACATCTTGCGCTGCCGTGGCAAGAGGGGCTATGAGGCTTTCCTGGAGTCCCTGGAGTTCTACTACCCGAAACACTCCACGCTGCTCACCGGCCGGGAACCCGCCCAGCGCTGCTCCATGATCCTTGGGGAGTGGTCCAGGGTGGGTGCTGGTGCCTCAGCCACCCATGCAGAGGCTCCTTACCCCATCCCGGTCAGGGAGGTGCGCCCATTATCCCTGTTGAACAGATAGGGAAACTGAGGCACAGAGAGACTGAAGCGGTTTGCCTAGGGCCGCACAGTAGCCTGAGGGTGGGGCTGGGATTCTAATCCAGTTACTATGAGCTCAGAGCCCATGTGCCTATTAACATGACTGTTCCTAAAATGGTTTTCAGATGTGATCTGTCCAACATACACAGGTTTACAGCTGCTTCTATAAAAAATTCAGAGGCCCCAGGTGACTTCAGAATAAAACAGCTCTGTACTCCTCCTTCACTCACTCTGTTGGTTGCAGCTTGGCCAGCCTCCTTTTTCTTAGCGTACGCACCCTTGCACTCACAGGCGTGTGCTACACGGGCCTCCATGTGCTGCTCAGTATTTTGCTTTTTTTCAGAATGACTGGTACAGTGATTCTTCCACCTCTGGATAATGTGCGTTAGTGAAGCTGTGTTATCATTCATTTAACTCACCTGCTGTTGATGGACAGCTCGGGCGTTTACAGTGTTGCGACATTACAAGGTGCCGGGAGCATCTTTGCTGGGAGCATCCTTGTATGTGCATCTTTGTGCAAATTGGTGTCTCGGGGGAGAGTCTGAGAAGTAGAATTTCTCAAAGAATATTTCAATGCTAAGTCGACCTGTCACATACCTCCCACTGCTGGTGTGTGTGTGCCCATTTTGTGCGGCCATTATAAATCCTGGGGATCATATTGGTTGATTCATTGCTGTAGGGCACATGCTTTTGCCAGAGAGAGAGAGAGAGACAGAGAGGGAGATAGGGAAAGTGAGACAGCATCTAGGGGGAATTGCCACACTGCGGTCCCTTCTCCTCCATTCTCAGCATTTTGGGCACGCATGCACACGTACCTGGTTTATTTTATCAAGCCGTCCGGTCTGAGAGACTCGGACTGCACAGTCAGCCACGTGGGATCTAACCACCTTAAACTCTTGCTGGGTGCTGGGGATCATTTTCAAACATTTTTGCCACTCTGGCATGTAAAAAGCAGTATTATTGTTTTAAGTATGTGTGTATATATATATATTTCCCCCCCATTTAAAAATTTTTGTGATTCCTTATTTATATTACCTTGGTTTTTGTCTTTAAAATGGGTACAATAGTACCTATGTTATAATGTTTTGTGAAGATGAAGTAAATCAGTGTTTATATGTGTATAGTGCAAGGAATGAAGTCAGTGAATGCCAGTAGCAACTGTTACTGTTATCAGTGTTGGAGCGTAATTTCGTGTCCTTATTAACCATTTTTATTTTGACACTTGCTTCTTGGTAGTTTTGGCCCATATTTTTGTTTAGTTGCTTGCTTTTTATTGGTTTGTAGGAGCTCTTTATATGTTGTAGCTTTCAAATTTTTGTTATAACATTTATTTCCTTTTCTGTTGCTAGACTTTTAAATTTGTTACTTCTTTCATTTTTCAGAGTTTTAACTTTTCTATGGATTTGTCCGTTTTTCTCTTATAATGCCTAGATTTTGTGTCTTGTTGGGGAAGGCCTTCCTATCACCAGATTATACAAATACTGGATTGTCGGAAAAGTCAGGACACATTTTTAAACGCACGTTTGCGCGGGGAGCGGGACTGGGTGTGTGTGTGTGGGGCCGGGGGGCATTGCACTACAGGTGCATAGTGGGGGCCGGCTCTCCTGGTGAGGGGGCCGGCTCTCCTGGCGAGGCAGACGGCACGCCCTCCCGATGTGTTGAGACAGGCCCCTGTGTGTCACCAGCTCAGAAATCTGGGGAATGTGGGTTCTGGAGCATGGGGGGGGGCAGGGAGTAGCAGCCAGGTGCTAGGGTAAGCCCTAGCCCTCCTTGACCCTGAATGCACCCCTATACGCCCAGGGCGCCTGATGGACATCTTGCGCTGCCGTGGCAAGAGGGGCTATGAGGCTTTCCTGGAGTCCCTGGAGTTCTACTACCCGGAACACTTCACGCTGCTCACCGGCCGGGAACCCGCCCAGCGCTGCTCCATGATCCTTGGTGAGTGGTCCAGGGTGGGTGCTGGTGCCTCAGCCACCCATGCAGAGGCTCCTTACCCCATCCCGGTCAGGGAGGTGCGCCCATTATCCCTGTTGAACAGATAGGGAAACTGAGGCACAGAGAGACTGAAGCGGTTTGCCTAGGGCCGCACAGTAGCCTGAGGGTGGGGCTGGGATTCTAATCCAGTTACTATGAGCTCAGAGCCCATGTGCCTATTAACATGACTGTTCCTAAAATGGTTTTCAGATGTGATCTGTCCAACATACACAGGTTTACAGCTGCTTCTATAAAAAATTCAGAGGCCCCAGGTGACTTCAGAATAAAACAGCTCTGTACTCCTCCTTCACTCACTCTGTTGGTTGCAGCTTGGCCAGCCTCCTTTTTCTTAGCGTACGCACCCTTGCACTCACAGGCGTGTGCTACACGGGCCTCCATGTGCTGCTCAGTATTTTGCTTTTTTTCAGAATGACTGGTACAGTGATTCTTCCACCTCTGGATAATGTGCGTTAGTGAAGCTGTGTTATCATTCATTTAACTCACCTGCTGTTGATGGACAGCTCGGGCGTTTACAGTGTTGCGACATTACAAGGTGCCGGGAGCATCTTTGCTGGGAGCATCCTTGTATGTGCATCTTTGTGCAAATTGGTGTCTCGGGGGAGAGTCTGAGAAGTAGAATTTCTCAAAGAATATTTCAATGCTAAGTCGACCTGTCACATACCTCCCACTGCTGGTGTGTGTGTGCCCATTTTGTGCGGCCATTATAAATCCTGGGGATCATATTGGTTGATTCATTGCTGTAGGGCACATGCTTTTGCCAGAGAGAGAGAGAGAGACAGAGAGGGAGATAGGGAAAGTGAGACAGCATCTAGGGGGAATTGCCACACTGCGGTCCCTTCTCCTCCATTCTCAGCATTTTGGGCACGCATGCACACGTACCTGGTTTATTTTATCAAGCCGTCCGGTCTGAGAGACTCGGACTGCACAGTCAGCCACGTGGGATCTAACCACCTTAAACTCTTGCTGGGTGCTGGGGATCATTTTCAAACATTTTTGCCACTCTGGCATGTAAAAAGCAGTATTATTGTTTTAAGTATGTGTGTATATATATATATTTCCCCCCCATTTAAAAATTTTTGTGATTCCTTATTTATATTACCTTGGTTTTTGTCTTTAAAATGGGTACAATAGTACCTATGTTATAATGTTTTGTGAAGATGAAGTAAATCAGTGTTTATATGTGTATAGTGCAAGGAATGAAGTCAGTGAATGCCAGTAGCAACTGTTACTGTTATCAGTGTTGGAGCGTAATTTCGTGTCCTTATTAACCATTTTTATTTTGACACTTGCTTCTTGGTAGTTTTGGCCCATATTTTTGTTTAGTTGCTTGCTTTTTATTGGTTTGTAGGAGCTCTTTATATGTTGTAGCTTTCAAATTTTTGTTATAACATTTATTTCCTTTTCTGTTGCTAGACTTTTAAATTTGTTACTTCTTTCATTTTTCAGAGTTTTAACTTTTCTATGGATTTGTCCGTTTTTCTCTTATAATGCCTAGATTTTGTGTCTTGTTGGGGAAGGCCTTCCTATCACCAGATTATACAAATACTGGATTGTCGGAAAAGTCAGGACACATTTTTAAACGTGTCCTGACTTTTCCAACGACCCAGTATTTTCTTTTAGTGTTTTTATGGTTTGGGCTTTTCTGCCTAGTCTTCTCTT